GAGTTGCATACGCAAGCAGAAGGTGCTTACATGGTCTTCCGGGTCAGTCGTGCCATTGTACGTCGGGAGGGTGGGTGTCGCCCCCGTCAGGTTCTCCGCCATTATCTGCGCGCTCAATGGCTGGTGAAGGACCCTTTTGGGCGGGTTGGGTCGGTACTGCGGAGACAGGTGTTGTTCTAAGAAGCTGAGGTCCGCCCGCTCCGGTGGTTCGATTCCCGGCGTTTCGCACGCGGGAAGTTCCGTCGGCGCGTGTTGGGGTAGCTGGGCTGTCCCCGACGCTTCTCCCAAGGCTTGCTGAGGCGCCACCGCCAAGGCGTGTTGAGGCGCGTCCGCCGCCGCGCCTATCGTTTGCGCGCTCTCCCTGCTCATCATGAGCGCGATAACTTGGCTCATTTGTTTCTGCATGTCGGCTATGACGTTGTTTTGCTTCCTCACTAGATCCCTCATTTCTTTGGCCGTCAGCTCTGGCTCCTCTTCTTCGATGAGCACGGCGTTGAGGTTGCTGGCTTCCGCGAACGCCCTCGGGTCAGTCATTGCCTTGATCGGCGTTGCTTGGTCAGGCTGGTCGTGGTTGTGCTCTGCCATTGGGGGATTTTCTTTAGCGTTTCTTCTTGGCCCCACGGTGGGCACCAATTGTTTGAACCTAACTGAGTGTAGGAGTGAGGTTCGAGTGAGAGTTTGGGTCAAGAAGAAACGCGAACGTCGAGTTTGATCAAGAAGACAAGAATCAGAGAGTTGAGTGAGAACCGGAGTCCGAACTTTTAGAAAGAGAAGTAATTGTTATAGAGAGAGAATGGTGAAAAAATGCGATCCCCTCACCCACCGGAGTAAATGCCATATTTATAGGCTACATGGTGGTGGGTGAGTGGGTGGACTTCGAGACGGTACAACGACGTGACTACTGATGTGTCAGGGATTTAGGCCATCCCCCAACCTAGGACTTGTCAGAGGGTTGTCTATGATTTGTACCTAAAAGTCTTGACGTGACCTTCCCTCGGGAGACACAATGACGCCCTCTCCGGCTCTTGAGTCTGGTTGCCGCCTTGTCTTCCCACTTGCGCGCATAGCCTTGCTCTTGCCGCGCGTGAGGTCTCGGCGCTGTCGGACGTGTCGCGCCCTCGCCGTGTCTGTTGCGGCACGCGGTTTGACATGCTCTTTTGGCGCGGGGGTGATCCGAGTCACATGCCCAACAGTAAACTAACCACATAACAAGCTCATACCCTCCCCCCGCCTCCACTCTAACAAAAAGAAAATATTAGCACAGGGGCGGAGCTAGGATTTAAAGTTCGGGGGGTCGGAATAACTTTGTACATTATCGCCAAAATGAAAGAAAAAAAGTAATGTATATAACAATATAACATTAATTTAAATAATCGAAAGCACTCAAAATAGAATTAATTTAAAGTTTTCTAGTATGCTATACTCAAAGTAAATGATTATACTAAGGAAAAAATGTATCATATAATGTACAATAGAATTAATTTAAAGTTTTCTAGTATGCTATACTCAAAGTAAATGATTATACTAAGGAAAAAATGTATCATATAAGAAAAAATGTATCATAAAGTTCGGGGGGCCGGAATAACTTTGTACATTATCTCCAAAATGAAAGAAAAAAAAGTAATGTATATAACAATATAACATTAATTTAAATAATTGAAAGCACTCAAAATAGAATTAATTTAAAGTTTTCCAGTATGTTATACTCAAAGTAAATGATTATACTAAGGAAAAAATGTATCATATCATTTTTTCAATTTTATTATGCATTGAATATGATTTTATGATTATATTAATGTTTGTAAAAATTAATTAATTAAATATAAAAAAAATTCCTGAAGTTCAAGAACTCGAATGAGGTTATTTAAAATTATAGGATATATAAGACAAGCAGGAAAATTAAAGGATTGAACTGGAAAAAAACACTAATAAAATAGTAAGGTAAAACTGCAGACTACCAGGATCGAACTAGTGACCATGTAGTTGCAAGTAGGTGTCAACTCCGCTAGACTGTAAATTTGCCTTGGTAACAATTTGTCAATCGGATTGTATCTATATTCACATTAGTTTATACATAATTTTTGAAATTTCCTACGACTTTATACGTAAGTTTCAAAATTCTCGGAGGGCTGAGGCCCCCTCGAGAGCCTACATAGCTCCGCCCCTGTATTAGCATACTACCCCTTCTTATCTAGTCAGGGTGGTAATACAATTGTTCTTAAACTTGGAGGTTCCAATTTTAAATTACTTAGATACCACCTGATTTAACAACAAAGTTCTATATCACTCTTATAAAAAATTTCACCTCGTCTATTTTACCTTAATGCAATGCAATCATCAATGTCGAAGGATGCAATAAAAGTTGCGACTTGGATCGATCAAGACTATTGCTTAGCAATTAGCATCTAAGTAGGATGTAATTAGTTATATCTGTAAAAAAATTCAATAAGAGCTATCTCTCAAACTACTCCGAGACCAAGTAAAAAAATTGCTAATGTCTATTCTTTCTTCAAACCTTTTTCAAATTCTTTTATATTATTCAAACCTATTAAAATACTAAGAATTAGCTAAATGAGAACTTCCAGTTAGCAATTTTGTTAGTAATATTGACTTGGCAACATGATACTCACTTGGAAGAGACACATGAAGGTCTACATTCCAAAATTTTAGTAATTTCACCAAGAAAAAAATTATAAAATTATTAATAATAACGTAAAAATGGCTAATACTTTGATGCATTACGAAAGATTTGGCTAATTAATAGCATTTTAATAGATTTGGATAATACAAAAGAATGTGAAAAAAGTTTGGATAAAAAATATACACATTACCCTAAGAAAAAATTGAAACCTTAATTTCCCCCTCTATATCAGAGTTGCAAACAAGTCGAGTTTTCGTTAGACTCAAACTCTTTTCATTTATAAATTACTTGACTCGAATTTGAACTGAGATAATCTAACTCGAGCTCGACTCAACTAATGAAAATTATCCAATGTTCAATAACAAAGCCTATCATATCAAGCTAAACACAAGCTTGTTTGTCCCAATAATCTCTACAACCGACTCAAAATTAATGTTTATAAAACCGTCTGGAACTAAACTAACCCAATTGGCTCAATACCAATTTCATAACAACCTTCAAACCAATAAACTACTACTCCAAACAAATCTTAAGCATTTTACATAATGATAGCAATGAGGCGGAGCGAGACAGGTACATCAATACTCATTCCTCGCTCCACGTTACTGCGGATCGAGGCGGGTAAAACTTGCGCAGGTACGGAGTGGGACGGGTCGACCCACTTTTACATGTTATTTATAAAAAAACACGCAAAATTTACTTTTTACGATAAAATGAAGGGGAAAACACTTTATGAATGAAAAATAGTGAATATAATGGGTAATTGAGTCTAACAAATTTGAAGATCGACTCTAACTAATTGAAGAAAAGTCAAAATAAAATAAATATGTATAAATATTGTAAGAAAGTGAGATAAAATAATTAAAGAACATGACGAGCCTGAAGTAGATATTCATACCCCGTCTCATGCTACTGCGAGTTGGGTAAATACCCGCTACATCACGAGTCAGGTCGAATAATATCGAGACAGGTTCAATTGCCATCAGCCCATCACCAATTTTACAGATGATTTGTCCTACTAAAGAGAGGATTATAATGGGAAAGAGGCTCCCAAAAATCCTCATCATCTTCTTACATGTGCCCTTCACATGGCTTCTCTTCTTTTGTTTTTTGGTGTGATTTGGGGGGAATCTTTCATCTCTTCTATTGTGGACTGGGACTTGATTGATTATCCATTTTAATGCAGGAGGACTAAGACATGATTGATTACTTTGATTCTGAGTTATTTATCAGTGCCTTTATTATCCAGTTTAGTTTATTAATGCGATTTGGTTATTTGGACTGATATTTTCTGGAAAAAGGGGATAATTTTTAGGTGTGTAAAAGTTGGTATCTTTTGCTTGAGAAAGGGAAAGGGTAGTGGGAAGAACAAGAAAGTGAAGTTCTCCATAATTGCAGTGAAGAAGATAGATACAATTTTGTTAATAACTGGTAAGTGCACTAGCTAGTGGTCACTATCTGTTTGTTTTCATGATTAGCATAGTTATATTTCATTTAATCTTCACTTATATGACTTTCCTTTTTTTGGTTTGGATAATAAGATGACTCATTGAGATTGTTTTTTTAACAAAGAAAAATGAATAGAAAGGCAAACCAAACCAGATTGTTTAGATTCCGCATATTACAACTATAATACGAGAGTTTATAAGTAGAGAGCAACCTCTATTAGTAAGGTAGTTCGATGCAGTTTGGTTCCGTTCTCTAAAAATGTCAGATATAATTAAAATTCCATGTTCAGTTTTAAATTGATATGGAAGATATGGATGCCTGTAGCTTGTAGCTGTAGCCCGCAACTCATTTTCTCGATTGTCTGTGAGGTTGGCTACAATTTTGTTTGATAAGTCAGTGCAACGAAAAGTCTAACACATCAATAGTCCTCAATTTGTTGCTTTGATTTCCATTTTAGTGATTTTAGTTTTGACAAATTGTACACATTGATTGAAGGCCTCCATATAACTTTTATTGTTCGAAAACCGTTAATCTCTTGGCAAAAATCAAGCCATCAACACCGACGGACAACCAGTCTATTGAGAAACACATGGAGCCAGCAAGGGGGTTGAACTAATTGGGGGGAACAAGAAAGAAATAACCCTTTTATTTTGTTTTATAAAAACAAGAAAAGAATTTTTCTTTGACTATTTAAAATTAAAACAGAAAGAATGGTTGACATATGATATAAGAAAATAGAGATAAATATATATATATATATATATATATTTATTTTATGAATGATATATAAAATTTGACTAGTATAAGAAATGAAAGGAGATAGACCTTTTTTATGGTTAAAACTTAAAAGACATTGAAATCAAAGACCGTATCGACAATTCAACCAGAAAATACCAATGACAAAATGAATTAGCAATATTCAAAGATACAAAACACAATTTTAATATAAGATATCCTATCACAAACTTTTTTGGTAATGCATTTCAAAGCTTACTGAAATTAAAATCGACGCGCTGACGCGCTGATGGCCGTGTGTGGATGCAAGCAGAGCAAGTGATGGAGGAGAAGTGCGCTTCTTCTAATCAAAATGACAGCTTCAGATTTGCTGTTCCCATCGGTGACACGTGGCTGGCTAACCGTGTTCCCTACTTTGCCGACCTTTCTTCGTCCTCACATGAACCGACGGTGACGGGGAACAGAAAACGAAAGGAAGATGGTTTGGGCTATTCCCAAAACTGGATCCCACGGTCTTCTTTCTGGCGGCCCAAGTAACACAGTCTGATTTTGGCCCAGCGGTATGGAGGGGGCAGAAACGAAGAAGCAGACATCTGAGAGAGCCAAAGCTAGAGATTATACAACACTGGTGCACAATGTCCATGAGTTGCTCTATATTCTATAACATGAACAATGAGAGCCAGATTCGATCATCTCAATAACATACGCCATCACTCGAGAGCTCTGATATTACACAACAACGACGTGGTATGTTCAGAAGTCGATCGATCTCTCACCTCGCGCACGCAGGATAAAATGGTAAACGACAGAGAGGCCATCTCGCGCTGGACTCGTGGAATGTTTTCTTATGTATTCACTTGACGTGCTTAGCAAACCACTCCAACGCGTCGTTATGAGCCTCCACTGCAGCTTTTACCTCGGCTTCGTCTTCAGCTTTGTACCTCACTGTCCATCCATGAGCAACTCCAGGGAATATCTTTACAAATCCATCAAACTGCGCCAAAATATGTTGAAACCATGTTGAGAGCTGGTCCATTTGCCAAACTACCCCTGAACCAGAACACATCCACAGATGTAAATAGTTTTCTCTTACCTCAGGCTTAGTAGCCAGGACCTCTTCAAACTGTTTCACTAGAGCTGGTGGCGAAAGGTGGTCGAACTCAGCTCCAAGTACAGCAAGAGGAGCCTTCACCTCTGCAAAAGAAAAACAGAACTTTAGTTAAAAATCAGCTGATCGAGCAACAGGGCAACCATCGTATCACAAGTACCAGAAAACTGCTAGGAGACAGAGGTCAGGCACTTTGGAAGTCTAATTGGTTACCTTTTATGTCATCAACTGTGACAAATGAAGGATGCAACAGCACACCAGCATTAATGTGGGCGAGTTCAACCACAACCTTGGCTGAGAAGATTGAGCAAAAGCTCATATTAGGAAGAGCAAGCTCAAATTGCGCGAAAAGGCTAGTTCGACTTCCATCAACTTGTCTAAGTTTTATCTATAAACCATGACAGCAAAAAAAAACAAGCTAATTAGAACCACATAGATGTCTGAAATCATACCACCCCAGCAAAAGCCTGCAGCTCCAATTGCAGATACGCCTTTATTCTTCAGACTTTCAATGACAGCCTTCGCATCTTCAAATCCCTTATACTGTTTATGAAGTAGCAGTGAAGCAAAAAGGCACATGTAGTTATCAAAACTGTAATAGTTCCCAATCCAAGTTTCAATTTCAAATGTTCCAACTTGGCTAAACAGTTGTGAGAAAAAACGGATTCTTTGTCATAAGGGAAGATGCATTCACAACGAGTGGAATGAGATATCAGTAGATACCGGCAGAAAGAATCTAGTGAGAGCGTTGATTTTAACAAGCAATTGCATTCACAACGAGTGGAATGAGATATCAGTAGATACCGGCAGAAAGAATCTAGTGAGAGCGTTGATTTTAACAAGCAACAATAGGGTCAAAATTGGCACATAACTAGCGAAATCATTGACACACCATAAGACTATAAGCACCAAAAGAAGGTTAAAGCTTCCAGAATACACAAAAACACGAAAAACCCTAGAAGCAATGATAAATTACTACACCAATCGAACACCTAAATGTCAACTATATCATGAACTCGGTATGATTTCGGCCAGAAGATGCTAGCAATTTGGGGAGGAAGATACCTTAAGATTGGAGCTTCATATCCTGCAATCAGAAGAAGAAGAAAAGAGAGATCACAAAAACGGAAAATCGAAGAGAGAAAGATCAATTAAGAATGACGGCGGAGTTGGAAGTGGGGGGGGGGAGCCGGTGACATAGGAGTCGAGGTGGCCGACTTTCTCTACATGGCCAGCTCCGGCACCTGGGTTCAGCGCCGGAGGGTTTTCGATAGCACTGTGGTCCTGACATCGCTCTCTTCTCTCCGTTCTTTCTTTCGCCGGGAAATTCCGAAATGCTGGTGGGCTCGGCTGTCTGGATCTGGAAGCTCCCCGCAAATACCTTACTACGTCTAGTCTAGTGTCTACTAGCGGCCTCTGGATTGGTTTATGACGGCGAAGAATGCCACGTTTATGTGTTTGCTACGCGGAAATGAGAATATGCCAAAAAACGGGAGGGAATTGGGCTCACATTTTAAGAGGCGGCCCATGGCTCGTGGGCTGCAGCCCTTTTGGCATTGGATCGTTTGCCTCCGGACATGCTAGGCTTGTGTTCCACATTTCCAATCTGGTTATGCAGTAGATAGGAGAACGAGATGCAAAGAGGTTGAGACTGCAAAACGATTTTTCTGCATCAACTACGAAGTTGGTTTTAGATAAAAATCAGCGAAGTAAAGAGGAAGGGGAACGTTCATGTTTCTTTTGGTTGCTTGTTTAACAAATTTTAGCCAATATGATTAGTTGTGTAATTAAATGGGAATTAAGTTACAGGTAAGAAAATTTAAATAGAAATGGTAAATAAATAACCCGACTAAAAACGATATAGTCATCTTACGCAAATAACATTATTATAATTTTCAAGCATCCTTATTCATAAATTTTCCTTTTATCAACGGAATTCAAAATAAATTATACTCCCTCGAAGGGAGTTGGTAAAGGCAGGACACTCGATCAAGAGTACTCTAATCTTTCGTGAGCTTAAGCATATCCAGAAAAGAAATCCCATTCAGTCCCTGCCTGTAAGACTGGGCAACGAAATCTTGAATCGTAGTCTTCTTGTATCTGGGAGGATTCTCTTCCGACAACAACTCTTCAATCGGTCCATAGATTCTCGAACCCAGCGTGAATCCAACACCGAAAAACGCGATAATGGAAACCCTCGGCCCAGCATTTTTCACCAGCACCCTGTGCTTCACGCTCGTAAAGTTATCGTTGGACATCACCTAAGATCAAAACCAACACGCACGTATGTCAGACTCACTCGACATAACATAAACAAAGCGAAATCACCAATTTTCAAAAGAATCGAAACAAACTTATGGGAATTCATTTATAACCTGAAGCAGATTCGCGATGTTGATCACCAACCCATCCGCCATGGGAGGCACATCAACCCAATGGTCCTTGTGAAGAACTTGAAGGCCTCCAACATCGTCCTGTACAAGAACAGAGATGAATCCGATGTCGGCATGTTGAGTAGTTCCCAAAGTAAGCTCAGGTTGAGGGCAAGCTGGGTAGTAATTGTACACTACGTTCACTCCTTCCGCACAACCCATTTCTTTCAAGTAATTCGACTTCAGACCTAGAGCCTCCGACAGCAACTCGAAGAGCGAGTCTCCGATTTTCAGCATCTCCGACTAGTACTCTGTTACGACGTCCCTGCAGGAAGTCGGCAGCTCCTCCGGCGCCGGCGGGTTTGGTGCCATTTGGAACATGACGGCGTCCCTCCAGTTGGCGGATGAGGAAGTGTATAAGTCCAAGTTGCTGTGGTAGACGACCTTTTTCCTCATGTCGCGGCCGTAGTATTGCTTCTTTTCCTCCACATCCAGGTTGAAGAATCTATTGCAAATGAATTGATGAAATCATAACTAAAATCAAAAGGGCGATGAAATGAGGTATCTTACTGTACAAAAGTAGGATAAGATTGATTATTGAATCTACCGTTATTGGAATCAACTGGTTATGACAGAATATCCACCATGTGGTCGTACGTTAGAATCTCCAGAATTCCCAATATAAACATTTTGTTACATCACAAGATATGATGGGACTTTGCAGTTTGCAGACTTCAAGGCCATGAGGTGGTGTGTTAATAGAAAATGGCATAAGATCCATACTTAACTTTCTCCCAAGTCCCAACAACTATAGTTATTGGATTCAACTTAGAGGTTTTGCTATGAGTTTGAATCCAGAACTACGCTCAATTAGTATGAATGAGGCCGTAAAGATCAAAAGAAGAAAAAACGATAATATCTGCAAACACAATTTTTTTTAATATTTTTAATCGTTGAGAACTATTCAACTATAATTCTACAAATTTATGAATGATTTTACTTGTGATTAGGTATTAAATAAGCTATTAATAATTTGAATTTGAAATGTGTTTGACCCATCTAGCTCCGGATCGAACAATGATATTTGTTGGTGTGGGTTGACTCGTCTTCCGTTCGTCCGATCTCGTCGGGAGGGAGAGAACCTGTGAAAGAGCCGGGGTTGCCCCCCGGATTAAGCTCCGACGAGCAAGTCAGATGTCGGTTTGTGGAGAGAGTTGAGAGAAAGAGATAGAGAGATAAAGTGTAGAGAGATAGTAGGGAGTGAAAAGTGAGGAGAGAGAGCCGTCTCTTCTTTGGAGGGCTTCAAGCCCTTATATACCTGTAGCGGGTATCGTGCGTTGGGCATCGCCGATTATGCGCCCTACTGCTTAGTCTGTGCGCTCCGTCCCTTAGTCACACCCCCAACAATTGCCCCCCAAGCTGGTGGTGAGTTTTAACTCATCGCTAGCTTATACTTTATTTTTTAAATCTTTGTCGGTAATTTTGGGTGGGGCCTATGTACCCCAGTTGCCCCCCAGCTGGTGGCGCGTTTGAGTGACGCGGTGCCAGCTTTTTGCGTCTTGCCCCCCATTAGCGCCATCAACGCTTAGGATAGTAAAAATATTTTAAAAATTTAATAATGATGGAGGGATAGAGTACTTAGCTTTATATTGGCAGTGGCGGCAGGAGTAGTTGAAAGGCAGGCGCTGCGCCATTGAAACAGAACCTGGGTGGTAGCCTGCAGGTTGTTCTTTCGAACTGGGCGCGAATAGTGCTGGACTATTGCTAAGTTTTGTTCTTTCGAACCATGTCCTTTTGTTTTTTTGCGCGAATAGTGCTGGACTATTGCTGATTTTTTTTTTTTTTTTTTTTTTTTTTTTTTTTTTTTGTTCTTTCGAACTGGGCGCGAATAGTGCTGGACTATTGCTAAGTTTTGTTCTTTCGAACCATGTCCTTTTGCGCGAATAGTGCTGGACTATTGCTAATTTTTGTTCTTTCGAACCATGTCCTTTTTGCGCGAATAGTGCTGGACTATTGCTAATTTTTGTTCTTTCGAACCATGTCCTTTTGCGCGAATAGTGCTGGACTATTGCTAATTTTTGTTCTTTCGAACCATGTCCTTTTGCGCGAATGTTAAAATTCAGGCGCCACACCGTTGAAACACAAGGTGCTTGTGGCCTGCTGGTAAGGATGCTTACCTGTCGGAGGAGTGGCGCGGGTTCGAGTCCTCGTGGCGATGATATTTTTGGGAGAGTGCTGAACAGTTGAATGCACGCGCGAGTTGGGCCGCGAATTGGGCTTGCGCGCGTCGCGGGCTGGTGATGCGGGCCGGACGCGAGTTGGGCCTGCGCGCGTCGCGGGCTGGTGATGCGGGCCGGCGCGAGTTGGGCCGCGAATTGGGCTTGCGCGCGTCGCGGGCTGGTGATGCGGGCCGGACGCGAGTTGGGCTTGCACGCGTCGCGGGCTGGGGGAAGGCGCTGCGATGCTTGTGTCGCGAGTTGGTGATGGCGCGGGTTCATTAATATGAGAGTACTGCGCCCAAGGATCACCAAGCGCATCTGTAGTCTGTTGGTGATATGGCTTGTCTGGCTGAAGAGTGAACGCGGGTTCGATTCCTCTTGGCGGCGACATTTTTTATGAGCTTCTTCTGGGACGCATAAGTGGGCCGCGAGTGGTGGTTGAGGCGGAAGGTGGCCCAGAGACTGGGACGCATAAGTGGGCCGCGAGTGGTGGTTGAGGCGTGGGCTTGAGGCGGAAGGTGGCCCAGAGACGCAGCTGAAGGTGGAGCGGGCCGCGGGTGGGCTTGAGGCGGAAGTTGGACCGGGTGGCGCACGCCTGAGCGGTGATGGGCCCATCTGGCGCGAGTGGGCCGGGTGACGCGAGCTGAAGGGTGGAGCGGGACGTGAGACGCGGGGGTGGGCCGTGAGTGGAATCAGGCCCATGAAGTAGGCGGAGAGACCATCTTGGACGCGTTTCTTTTTTTTTTTTTTTTTTTTTTTTTTTTTTCGTTATTTGAAATTGCAGTGCGCCGGCAGAACACCACTTCTCCGGTTGCGCGGCAGCCTGGGAAAGCAGAGGTCGGGGCTGACAGAGTGTCCTGTCGCGCTGGGAGTGCTGGTGGTGGAGTTGGTGTTGGCGGCGAGGAGGGCAGAGCTGATTTGGCCGCACCTGGCCTTGGCCATTAGCGGCGGGGCGATACGAGACGGAGGCCGGGGGAATGGTTACGTCAATGGCTCCGGTGAGGGAGACATGATGATCCACATGCGTGCTGCTCTTCAAATCGGAGCTCAACGAAGAGGAAGTGCTGATCGAGAGGGAGCTTGCCGGAGCGCTGGCCTTCGAAGGAGAGGAATAGAGGATGCTCTTGTGGAGCGCGTCGTGGTAATCGTGGGCGGAGAATCTGAATAGTGGCCGCATTCTTTTCTTTCTGAAGCTTTTCCAGGCTGGCCTCCACTTGTGCCCAGTTGCCTCGAAGACGCTGCCTGTCCTTTCATTCTGACAGAGAGAGCAAGTGGTCTCGTCAACTGTTCCCTCTCTTTCCTTCACCGGGCTACTGTCTGTAGGGAGAGGAGGTGAGGTTGACTGCGACTGGTTCCTTCTTTTCTCATCGGAGACAAGGCGCCGGTCTTAACTCCGGTCAAAAAGGTCGCCGGAATCTTACGACGATTTTGTTGCCGTCGTCGGGGTGGTGAAGACCGCCGACCACCCGCCTAATCCGTCGGGTACAACCCGATTCAGCTGGCCAATGATTTCAGTACGGATAGAGGAAGAATCCATGGCGGAGAGCATGAAAACGGAGACGCCGAGAATGCAGATGAGGGTGATGGAGAGGATCCATTTTCTTTTACACGGCTGGCCTTCAAGGAATTTGGCAGCTGCTGTGGCGCTTAGTTGGTGGAGAAGATTTCGAGCTCTTCCCAAAAACAATCAGATCTGGATTTTTTTTTTTTTTAATATGTTGACCCAACTCTTTCTTCGGCCTCCATCCCTCAGAAATCAAACGAACAGATGTTGAAATCAGCCCCACGGTGGGCGCCAATTGTTTGACCCATCTAGCTCCGGATCGAACAATGATATTTGTTGGTGTGGGTTGACTCGTCTTCCGTTCGTCCGATCTCGTCGGGAGGGAGAGAACCTGTGAAAGAGCCGGGGTTGCCCCCCGGATTAAGCTCCGACGAGCAAGTCAGATGTCGGTTTGTGGAGAGAGTTGAGAGAAAGAGATAGAGAGATAAAGTGTAGAGAGATAGTAGGGAGTGAAAAGTGAGGAGAGAGAGCCGTCTCTTCTTTGGAGGGCTTCAAGCCCTTATATACCTGTAGCGGGTATCGTGCGTTGGGCATCGCCGATTATGCGCCCTACTGCTTAGTCTGTGCGCTCCGTCCCTTAGTCACACCCCCAACAAAATGCTATAAAACTGCTAATTCATCAAGCATCAATTTGAGAGGGAAAAAAAATAAAATTCAAACAATTCATTTGATCAATATCTATCCATCGCCAATCAATTTGCCACTTTCACGTTTTACGGAAATACCAACCAATTGAGAGAAAAGAAAAAAAGAAGAGAAAAGTACCTGTGAGCTCCGGCTTTCATCTCCTCCACCACGCTCGCCGGGACGCCGTGGTTCACAACCTGGAAGAACCCCCAACTCGCCGACGCGTCCCTGATCTCGGCGACGACCTTCTTCCTCTTCTCGGGATCTTCCCACGCGCCTCCCAGGTCGATGATTGGGAAGACGTAGTTTGGATCCTCAGCTGCTGCTGTCGGGTAGGCGTCGAGGATATGGGGCGGCGCGTGGAAGATACGCGGCAGCTCAGCGACTCCGGCGTCCACCAGGCCTTTCACTCCGGCTTTCGTTTCGTCGAACGCCTTCAGCTCCGCAAGTCGGTCGTAAGCGGCGGCGGCGGCGGAGGCCATGTTTTGGTTGAATGAACGTCGTCGGGATGGTTTCTGATGTAAGTTTCTTATTAATGCTGCTGCCTGCTGGCGTTGGGTTTTTATAATCGTGGGTATAAGTATACTATTACGGTATTACCCTCGTAATCAATCGAGTAAAAACAATTAAATTACTTTTTAATGCTTCCCGCCCGCCTACCTAGACCACTCAGGATTATACCAAAATAAATCGGTCTATTTTATACAATGAAATGGATTAGTAATCACTAATCACTCGTTTTTTCAAACTATTCTAATTAAGACGACATTTCCGGGAGCCAATTCCTTGAATATTCAAAGACATACCAACCCATCTGTTAGAAAATTAAATTCATGAAAATGACAAATGCTGACGAGGACCGGCCTAGTGGTCATCAGCGTGGCTGTTTACATTTTTTCTTCTTTTTATCGTAGTCATCCAAGCAGATGGAGTGGGATTGTAACCATTTGATCGGAAATTTGGACAATGAGGATGGAGATTAGGCTGATAAACGGTTATCCCGTTAATGGTGTAATCGATAACCGAATTGGAACCGGTGCTTAACGGTTACATCGATAATCGATTAAATAGTCAACGATCGGTTCTCGATAGCTAAATTTAGCTAATAACTAACCGATGGTTAAACGGTTAATAACCGACGGTTAAACGGTTGACCGACTAATCGATTACAACCATTCTCAGAGTTAGAGAAAAAAATAATAGACATCTATGAGCTGCAAACATAGGCCGAAAATACAATATAAAGTTGGACTTGTACACAATTGCTAGACACCAATCAATAACATTAAACTTCCATGTAATTTGGTGGGGTTTACGAGTTGAGTAATTGTTGTTGAGTCTCTTATCGTTGTATGCTTCTTTAATAAAGTTTGACGGTATCATGTATTATTGTACTTGTGTTGGATTGAGTTGATTATGTATTGATATATATCTATGTCAAATTATATTTTATTTAATGATAACAACTTAAGAAAAGAACACATGCGTATGTATGAAAAATTATAGAAAATTTCACAATTGAAAAATGATGTCTTTTCTTGGTTAGATTATTGATAATTTATTTTGGTATAATCACGCCGAATCACTTGGTTTACGGTTATCCTGTTAACCGACAAAATAACCGAAAACCGACTATACAATTACGGTTAACCGAATAATTTAAACGGTTCGGTTAACGGTAATCACAACGTGCTTAATGGTTAATCGAGAACTTACTAAACGGGTTCGGTTTCTGGGGGAATTGCAGTATTGTAACCTTCATTTGACTGTGGGCCTCAGCTTAATAAGACTTTTGATTGTCCATTAATTGTCCGGTTAAGGTCGCCGGCGAAAATTTCTCTGTTTCGCTGGGGAATGCGGAATGCTGCGACTGTCAAGTTTCCAGCGGACTCGGACCTCTTGAGAATATTCTAAAACACGGGACGGAATTGGGCTCGTCTTTTCAATTTAGCAGACGCGGCCCAAGGCTTATGGCCATGATCTGGCATTGGACTGTTTAACGGCAGGCCAGGGCTGTGAGCCCATTCATGTTTCTTTTGGTTGCTTGTGTAACAAATTTTCGCCAATATGATTACTTGGCTGGGATAAATTTACCTAATTTATTAGTATCCCAGCCAATACGTTGCCTTTGATTTTCTATATTTAAGGGATCACAATTTAAGATTGCTTTTAGATGGAGAGGTACGCTCGTCATTTTGGAAAATTAACTAACTGACTTAACGTTCTTGATTCTCCTGTTCACAGCTCCTTTCTGTTTATAGCTGCCGCGTTTCTAAACTATTTTTGTGTTAGAGATCCGAGGGATGGTCAATTAGGAGCGAAGCGACAACAGTGGTGGAGATCACACCAGCGATTGATGAGGAGCGCTTGTATGCGTTGGTTGTTGAAACCACACAAGATATTTGTTTTCTTTCTATATTTCAATATTCAGATGAATTGTAGCGGCAACGGCATTGGATATTGCATAGGCGACAATGAGCATCAACGGTGACGGTGTTGGAGATTGCTTGTTTCATATTAATGTAAAGTTGACCACAATTTTACTGAAGTATACCAGAAAACGCATAAAGCTGACCCAAGTATCATGAAGCGGACTAGAAAACTCAGATCATATCAGAAACACGGCAAATCTAAAAAACTCATATAGTAGATCAGAAACCACATAAAACATACCAAAAGATGGAAAAAGCACACCAGAAATAGTACAAAACTGTTGACACCTAAAATTAATTTGGCCGGGATTAAATGCCGCATTAATTAGTCTCGGCATTTAATTCGATATCGCGGGGTAAAAAACGGTATCGTTTGGAGTTAAAACGGTACCGCAAGAGAACTCACCGGTACCGCAAGGAGGCCGAACCGGTACCGCAACACCGGAAACGACACCGCAGGCCGAAAATAAAGAGGCCGCTCGTTTAATGAAGGGTGAGGAGGAGTTGTGATTATTTAATTATTATTTTTATTCCTTGTTGGAGGAGTAAAAACGGTACCGTAAGGGAGCTCACCGGTACCGCGGAGAGTTAAAACGGTACCGCGGCACTGGAAACGGCACCGCTTGTCGAAAATAAAAAACAAGGGCCGCGCGTGTGGTTTTTTGTTGGAGAGGGAGTGTTGTTTTTAATTAATTAATATTTTTGTTCCTTGTTGGTGGAGAGTTAAAAACGGTACCGCGAGTAAGCCCAACGGTACCGCGGACTAGCAAACGACAGTGTTTAAATAAGAAACAGTGTCGCAGAAAGGAAAAACAAACAACGGAGTTGTTATGGCGCTAGTGATGTCGTTGGTCATAGCTAGTGATGGATGGATTAATTAATTAATTAATATTTTAATGGCTGTTTAGGACGGTGTCGTTTAGTTGAAAACGATGCCGCAAGAGGAAAGAAACGACACCGCGGATTTGAAAACGATGTCGCGGGTATAATCAAGCGGTGTTGTTTAGCTAAAAACGACACCGTTTAAGGCATCAACAACGCCGTAGTATTACTAAGTGATGTCATTTTGTTAAAAACCATACCACGATGGTTTGGATTTTGGCGAGTGGCCCGGCAAGCTCAACGACACCGCAAGACAAGAAAAACGGTACCGTTTGGTAGAGAACAATGTCGTGGAATGAAAAAGACATTGTTTGATGGGACCGGGACGGAGCAGTTCAAGGTCGGCATCGATTAGTGAAAAACGATGCCGCGGAAAGATTAAACGATGTCGCAGGAGGTATCAACGACATCGCGGTATCATAAACGATAGCGTTTGATTAAAAACGATATCGCAGTGGTTAAGAGCTCGGCCAAAAGTGGCCCGCCAAACCCAACGACAGCGCAAGACTAGAGAACGACGTTGTTTGATGGACTAACAATGTCGTTGGTTAAACCGGGTCGGGGCAGTTGAGTTGGATTATAAAACGACATCGGTTGGTGAAAGGCGATGTCGTGGTATTGGTGAAACGTCATCGTTACATGGACAAGGTTGTAAGTCGTTTCGCCAAGTTTCTGCAAAGCAAGAGCGGTTTCGAGGGCACGTGATTATCACGCAACAAGGAGGAAGTTACATGCACGGTTGACAGGAATGAAGACGTGGGAGACAAAGGCGCCAAGGCAGTTACTACGACGGGGAAAAGCGCGAAGTATAAAGATTGGGAAGAGAGAGAAGCTAGGGACGGCAAAATCAAATCACAACTGCACCGTCGCAGAATTATCTTTTTTCTCTCTAGTTTCGTAGAACCGCTCTGTCAAAGAACTCCTTTGCAGAGTCGTAGATCGTAGCTTGTAGTCGTAGTCGCGGAGCTCTCCAGAGGAACCTCCATAGGAGTAGAGGTAACGTAACTTAGAACACTCCTGGTTCGATTTTCTGTTTATTCGAACACCCTCGTTCGAACGTAGTTTGGAGAGGTGTTGAACCGAATAACAGTTGTTTGATTAGAAGTCAAAGGTGTATCGATCAAATCAACGACGCCGACACCGGCGGCGGCCATTTGACGATCGTCTTTGTTTCTGCTTTAATCGATCAAATCAACGACGCCGACACCGGCGGCGGATATTTGACGGTTGTGATTGACGTGTGTTTTTGTGTTTGTCTTGAAAACCGTGCGCAGTTAACACACGAGTTTCGCCAACGAAACAAATTGGCACACCTGGTGGGACACGTGTGTTCGAATGGCTCCGCGGAGGAAGAATCACGAGGGCGATCTTCCACCAACTTCAGTGGAGGAAGAGCCAATGGTCAATGTAGAGACTGACCAGAGTGGCGGTTCACACGGCGGTTCGAGCAACGACGCCGGAGGGGAAGTGCCAGCAGTGGCGCAGACTGCCAACCAGGGTGAGATAACACGCATGCTTCGCCAAGTCATGGCTGATAACCAACAGGTAAAACTTCACTTAGCCTCTTTGGATGGACGTCTTGATGGTCTTAGTTCTCGGATTGATAGACGTGTTAGCCAACTGGTTGAAGTCGTTGATAAAAACAGAATGGATTTTGAAAGTAACAGACGTGATTTTAATGATTTTAGAGAGTTTTTGAATAGGCCAGTGCCGCAAACAAGGGCTTTGCCGTTAAGCGGCGAGAATCCGTTACACAACGACACTGGCGCCTTTCCGGTCAATGGCGGCCGAGATACTCAGCCGAGACAGGGCGTTTCGCCGACACCGGTGGTGAACCCAACAAGTCCGTCGAGAGTAAATCTTGGCGAGACCAGCACTGCGGCTAACACTCGTGTTGAGCCGCCACCAGTGCACAATGTGGGTCCACAAAATATTCCGGAGGCCAGACCCTACGTGGCTCCGATGAGCGGTGCTGGTGGTGGAGGAACGATCAACAATGATCATGTTCCGCCACGCGGCTACCCACAAAACGTGCCCCCTCCTCCTCAAAATGGGCTTGGCATGGATCCTGGTGGATTCGTACCACAAGGGGGGCAACTCGGGGGGCAAGACGTTAACGCGATTCGAGATCAAGTAGCACAGATGCTGGCGGATCAGTTTGGTTTAGGGATTAGACCAGCGATGCCGCCGGTGTATCGAAAACCATATCCGGATT